TTTTTTAAATTAAATTTTTTTTTATGGGAATTATTTTCATGTTTCTCTCTCTCTCTCTCTTTTTCTCTACTCGTCATCATCATCATTTTTTTTGTTCTGTTTAATTTTCTTCCACTCTATCTCCATCCTCTTTCTTTCTCTCTCTCTCTCTCTCTCTCTCTCTCTGTCTGCGTTTTTTTTTTCCGAAGCAAATGAAGAATTCATTACTTAAATTGCGTTTATAAATATTTTCATTGCGGTTTTTTTTTTTTTCTCTTTTTTTTTCCGAGGCGACGCACCGAACGATGTTATATGTTTAAAACATAAAATCAAAATAAAATTTAAATGAAAAAAAAAAAAAAAAAACACAAAACGAAAAAAAAAAAACAATAAAAGAAAAGAAGAAGAAGAAAAAAAAATTTTTTTTTCCGGGGGGGTTTTTTTTTCTTTTTTTCTTTCTTTTTCTTTGATTTTTTTTTTTTTTTTACGGTTTTTTTTTTTTTTTTTTTTTTTTTATCCATTTGATTTACCCAGGAAAAAAAGTAAAAACGTTGAAAAAAAACCAAAAAAAATGAAAAAAAAAAAAAAAAAAAAAAAAAAAAAAGGGTTAATGGCTTGTTGAGGCAAAAGGTCAAAATTGTTTTTAGTAAAAAAAAAAAAAAAATTTTATTTTTATTTTATTTTATTCTTATTACAACATTTGATGACCCGAAAAAAATCTTTTTTTTTTTTTTTTTTTTTTTTTTTAAAAAAGAAAATTGGATGTGCATGTAAATTAAAAGAAAATGAGAATGATTAACAAAAGAAAAAAAATCGGAGAGGGGGAGTGAGGAAAAGAGAGAGTGAGAGAGAACGAGAAGAAAATGAAAAATAATGAGAGAGTGTGAGTGTGAGGGGGGATAGGTGGTAGGGAGGGGGTACGAGGGAGTGAATGAGGGAAAAAAAAAAATTAAAAACATTTACCTTGTAAAAAAAAAATCATTAGAACTCGTTGAGGTAATTAAGGAGGGTGTTTAGACAACGCGAAAGAGAAAAAATAACGGAAACATTAGTAAAAGGTTAGAAAGAAAGAAAAAAAAAAAGGTTGCTATATGAAGAAAATTATTATTATTATTATTATTATTATTGAATTCGTTTTATGAATGGTTTCCGTTTGGTAAACTTATTGATGAAATTGTAAAAAAAAATTCTTTCCTTTTTTTCTTTTTTATTGGAAAACTTAAATTCTCGCGAAAAAATTATATATGTTATTGAAAATTACTCTCTCTCTCTCTCTCTCTCTCTCTCTCTCTCTCTCTCTCTCTCTCTCCCTCTCACTCTCTCTCTCTCTCTCTTTCCCTCTCACTCTCTCTCTCTCTCTTTCTTTCCCTCTCACTCTCTCTCTTTCTTTTTATTTGACTTTTTCGACACGACTTTGAAAAATTACAGTTTACAGTTTTTTAAAAAAAAAAGGGGGGGAAAATAAAAAAAAAAAAAAAAAAAAAAAACCTTTTACATTAATTATTAATGAAAAACAAACAAACAAATAGACGAATGAACGGACGAACGGGCAGACAGACAGACTAACAAACAAACAAACAAAAAAATATACATGTACACCTTTTACACATTCATTTATTTAAAAAAAAAAAAAAAAAAGGCAAAGGTTGTAGAGGCACAAAGTTTAAAAATTCAACATTACGAAAAAAACGCTATTATCATTATTATAGCTATTATTATTATTATTATTATTATTATTATTATTATTATTATTAAAAAGAAAATTTCAAAACGTCGGATTTACTTTAAGTTTACCCCCCCCCCAAAAAAAAAAGGAAAATTTCTAAGAATGAAAATGGAAAATATTAAATGGAAAGATTCTAAAAAAAAAAAAAAAAAAAAAAAAAAAAAAAAACCTTTTTGAGAAAATTTTATTATTGAATTAAAAAGGGGGTAATTGCCCATTGTGCTGTTGCTGTTGTTGTTGTTATAAATATAGTATTGAAACCAAAAAAAAAAAAAAAAAAAAAAATGGTTTTGACGTGGATAAATTTCAATAGAACAAAAGAAAATTATTACGTACGACGCGAGAGGGGGGGGTTAGAGGGGGGTAGAAGGGAAGGAAAAGGTAAAAAATTTTTCGTTGTGCCCTTAAAAAGAAAAAAGGAAAAAAAAAAGGACGGGTCCTTTAATGTAACAAGGTTGAAAATTTTTCATTTTTTTTTTTTTTTTTTTTTTATCTTTTGTCGCATCCGGAAAAGTTTACAATCTTTTTTCATTTATTATTAAATTTTTAATAATAATAATAATAATAATAATATTTTAAAAGAAGAAAAAGAAAAATGACGTGGTCAATTCGTAATACCCTCGGAGAAAAAATTCATCATCATTTTTATTAATATTAATATTATTAACGTGGTTAAAAAGATGTTCTTATTGATATTACGTATTTATTATTATTATTATTATTATTATTAATTGGTTATTAAAATTTTATTTTATTTTATTAGACCGGAAATCCGCTTTCTCGTTCTATTAAAAAAAAAGAAAAAGAATTATTCTATTCATTCATTCATTCATTCATTCATTCATTTCTTTTCGATAGAAGTTTTCCCGTTGTAAAACTTTTTATCGTCGTATTCATTTCCTCTTTTTTTTTCTTTTATTTATTTATTTATTTATTAATTAATAATATCAATAAATAAAAATTTTGTTAATGTTTGCGGTTTTGTAAATAAACAAAAAAAAAATCGATCGATCGATCTATCGATAAATAAATAAATAAATGATGATGATGATGATGATTGTAATGAAAATAAATAAATAAATTTTCCAGTTTTTTATGTACATTAAATTCAGTTAGTGAAAAGAAGGATTTTTCTTTTTAAAAATACGTATGTAGAAAAGAGAGAGAGAGAGAGAGGAAAAACTCGCGTGAAAAAAAAAAGAATCGAAACCGGTTAAATTTAACCGACCGGAAACGGAAATCTTTACATTTATTTTTTTTTTCATAATCCAAAAAAAAAAAAAAATATTAAAAAAAAGTTATTTTCCGTCGTTTTTTTTTTTAAATGAGTTTTATTTAAATGACGTCATTAATTATTATTTATATTTTTTTTAAGAGGGGGGAAGGGGGAGGGGAAGGAGGGGGAAAACTTTTTTTTATTTTGTTGTCAGATGTAATAGAAAATAAATAATAATCTTCGTTTGTCTGTCTTTTCATAAAATGATGATAAATTAATATTTTTGTTAAATCCTACTCGTTTTGTTTTTCCGAAAATAAATAAATAAATTTATAAAATAACAACAGTAACGGTAGCAGAAGTAAAATGAAATTGAAATGACTGTAGGGCAAAAAAAAAAAAAAAAATAACATCACCTGGAAAATTTAATAAAAATGATTTTTATTATTATTATCATCATCATCATTATCACGTTAAGTTTAACACGTGACGACGCGAACACTCGGTAATTTTTTTGATTTGTTTATTTATTAAAAAAAAAAAAAAAAAAAATTTGTTTATAATTTATTTATGTGAAATTTCTCATAAGTTTTTGTATGAATCAAAAATGGCGAACGCGACCGGTAGATTTTTTTTATTTAAAAAAAAAAAAAAAAAAAAAAAAAATTGTTTATTAATTAAAATTTTTTATTTTATTATTTTTTAAACAAATATTTATTTGTTTGTTATTGATCGCGCGTTTGTTTGTTTGTTTATTTATTTATTCCGTGTTGAAATTCGTGTGGAATTTTATTGAAAAAAAAATTGGAGTAGTCCTTTTTTTATTAACATGCATCCGCCATTTTTTTTTTCACCCAAAATAAATTACTTTAAAAAAGCAAATTTAAAAAATTAAATTTAAATTTTTATTTAAAAGGGGAGGGGAGGAAGGAGGGTGGCGGTAGAAAACGTAATAATAATAATAAATTTTTTTTTTATTGCGGCAAATAATAAATATTTTATCGAATGAATTTTTTTTTTTATTTTAATTAAAAAAAAAAAAATAAATAGATCGGAATCCATACTATGCCCCCAACAACAACAACAACAACGACAAACAATAAACAACAACAACAACAATAATAATAATAATATTGTGTGTATATATTTATGTATGGTTTATGTGTAAATATAAGAGAAAAAGGGTTTTCTATTGAATTCAAAGTCAATTTAAACTTTGTTAAGAATAAACATGACGGTTTTCTCGTACTCCCCTCGCTCCCCTCGCTCCCTACTCAAAAGAAATAAGAGATTTATTTCGACATTTATTTACAACACCCAAAATTTTTATTTTACTTCCTTACTCCCCCTTTACCTCCCTTCCCACCCCCCCAAAAAAGAAAAGGAAACTCTAAGAAACATTATTTTTCATCATCATCATCATCACGATCCTTCAATCTTTCACGGATCGTTTACCTTTTTATTGTAATAAAAATATTTTTTGTTTGTTTGTTTGCTGTTTGTTTTTTTATTACTTTCTTTAAGGTATTTTTTTTTCATTTTCGTGACTTTTGAAATCGTTCGTTAAATAATTTTTAATTTTAAACGCGGAATATTGTTTTGTACGGGTGCGTGCGTGCGTGCGTAAGTGCGTGAGAATAAAATATTTTAAAATTAAATATGTTCGTGTTTCACTAAAAATGTTCATCATTATGTTTTTTTTTTTTTTTTTTTTTTTATAAAGGAGAGAAAAAAAATTCGGGTTTTCGAAATGATAGTAGTAATAATAATAATAAAATTTATTCGCGTCAAATTTAAAAATTTAATGTTGATGGTTCATAATAAAAATATATAAGGTCTCTCTCTCTCTCTTAATGTTTTTTATAATGTGCATGTTTCACTGCAGAGAAGAAATAAATTTAAATTAAATTTTTTTTTTTATATATCGCACACTTTATTTTTTTGTGCGTGTGTTTTTATGATTTAACACTTGATAAATATCACAGTCGAAACAAACAAAAAAAATGTTGTTTGTTTGTGTGTTTGCGCGTGTGTGTGTTTGTATAAAAGTACTGGACTTACCGAAAGAAATAGATGAAATTATAAAAGATGTCCTCCGATAATGCTTTCGCTATCGTTTCTTTCACTCGGCGGTGATGATTTGCTTCCGTTGGATTGATTATGAAGAAGAATCGTGTCATCTTCGGTCAAATGCAATTCGACTTTTTCCTTTTCCATATTGTACGAGGCTTTGGGTAGGAGAAGACTTTCGAGTCCGATTGTTTCGTTTTGTTTATCCGAAGGTTTAAGCATTTCCGGCATTTGTATTCTTATGCTGCTGCACCTTCGTAAAATTGACGCGGATTGACATAGTGTCGTTTCGGTTTCGTTACCCGTACACGTTTGATCCGATCTCCAACCCGGTAGCCTGTCCTTGGACGTTTTGTGTCTGCACGAATCGAAACCGGGAAGTACTTGTTTAAATTCTTTTCTAAAGTTTTCGTTGAGCCAAGCGTATAAAAACGGATTGTAACACGTGCTACTCATCGCCAGTGCGTGGAAAAAAAAGAAAAGGAGGTTGTAGTACCGCCAATTTCCAACTTGGTTGTTGAAATCGTTTATTATGTTTATGCAATTGAGCGGGAGCCACGACAACGCGAATATCGACACCATCGAAATAAGCATGCGATTCGTTCTCCTCTTTCTCTCTCTGTCGATTTCTTCTTTCCTAGAATTTTTAGTTCCCGGTTTTGCTCTTTCGTTTAATTTCAGGCTCACTTTCGTGTAGCAAAAAGCAATTATCGTGAAGGGAATGATGAATTGCATCGTCACCGTTATGCATCCGTATATTTTCCGAATGTGATTACCCGGCCACGCTTCTTCGCAGTAATATGCCGTCACGCTCGTTTCGTTCACGTTCGACTGATTCGTTTCGTACGATATCATGTAAGCGACGTGGTAACCGTAGGGTAGAGTCGCCACTATGCTGAAAAGCCAACTTCCGAGCACGATTGTCAAACACGTTTTCGTTTTCATTCTCCGGCGGAAGGGATAAATGATGACGAAAAATCGATCTATGGCTATCGACGTGAGAGTGACCGTCGATATGTACACGCTTATGCTCGTGGCAGGTGCCAAAATGTAGCAAAGCGTTTTACCAAACACCCAAGATTCTAAAAAGGTGTAGAGTGGAGTGAATGGTACGCATAAAACGCACAGTAATATGTCGGACAAAGCGAGATTCGTTATGAAAAAATTAGTGACGGTTTGCATGGCACGATTTCGACAAACGACGTAACACGTAAGAGCGTTCCCGAATATTCCCAGTACAAATATGACCGTGTAGAAAATCATAAAAATCGCTTGGATTTCATGGTATTTTATGGGATCCATTGGCGGCGGCGACGTGACGTTCGAATACATCGTCGTCGGCATAATCGATTCTTCTTCATTTTCTTTCATGGCCTGAAAATGAAAAAAAAAAAAAAATTATTTGCTTCGTACGTTTATTATCATTATTATTATTATTTTTTTACATTTAATTATCGTCACTTGTAATAAAAATTGATTTGATGCGTCGATCACGTGTCGTATAACATATATCTTATAAAATCGTTAATAATTTTCATCCGTGAATGAATGGGGAATTGATTGATTGATTGATTCTTATCGTAAAAAAATATTTTCTTTGTCGGAAAATGAACAAAGAAAAAAAAATAAGATGGAGGATTTCGTAACCGAACTCATTCGTAAAAAAAAATCGGATTCGATAACACAAAATCAATATTAAATTTACCTTTTAATTCAAAAACTTAATAATGATAATAATAATAATGATAATAATGAAAAACTTTTCCTTTTGAAAAAAGAAAAAGAATGTAAAATGAAAAGTTAAAAATAAAAATACACAGAAGGATTAAAAACGAAAAGGGAAAAGTGTTGAAAAAGGGGGGGAGAGAGAGAGGGAAAGTCATTTATTTATAAATAATTAATAGATTCGAATTTGTAAAATTATTATTATTATTATCATCGTTGTTATTAATAATATTACGTAATAAAATATAAATAATTTTTTTAATTATGCTGGAAAACAACAAATAATTACCGTAATATTTACGAATAAATACATATAATTAATAATCGAGTCGTAAACAAAAAAAAAAAAAAGTAATAAAAATAATGTAACGAACGATGATAATGATGATGATGATGATGGCGATGATGGTGATGATGATGATAATAATGATGAGAGTGAGAACGAAAGGGTTTCAGTATAAAAAAAAAAAAAAATTGTTAATAATTTTATTATTATTTTTTTTTTTCATAAGCCTTAAGGGATTTAATTTTACTTCTTATTCCAGACTTTTCCCCCCTCTCCTCCTCCTCCTCCTCTTCTCCCACACAATTCAAATTCAATATTCTATACAACTTTATTTTAAAAAAAAAGTTTTTTTTTATCTCTCTCTCTCTTTCTCTGTTCGTATCTCTGGAGAAAAATTACGATGGAATTTTTTTTTTTTTTTTTTTTTAAAGAAATATTTCAATCGCTCCTCCTTGTTAATTTTTCACTGCGAGAAAAAAAAAAAATTTTTTTTTTTTTTTTTTTTTTTTGCCCGCTGGAAAAAAATTTTTTTTAATCCATGGCTTTTGTTCTCTCTCTCTCTCACTATCTCTATCTTTCACTCTCTCTTTTTTTTTTTTTTGTTCTATTTCAAATATTTAAAAAAAATAAAACAGACGACGACGACGATTTTTTTTTTTTTTTAATGGATTAAATTTTTAATTGTGTCGTCTGCAGAGAATTTGTGAGGTGGTAGGGAGGGGAGGAGGGGAAGGAGGAGTGGAGAGAATATGGAAAAGGGATTTAAAAAAAAAAAAAAATTTTTTTTTTTGGAAATTTAGTGACGTGAAAATTAAATTTGACATTTTTTCCTCTTTTTTTACCTTTCTTCGTTTAAAAAAAAATCATAATATTATTATAAGTTATTATCATTATCGGTATTTATTACAAAATTGATTTAATCATCATCATCATCATCATCGTTGAAAAAAAATAATAATAATAATAATGAAAACAATTAAAACGTTGAAATGTTTTGTATGTAAACGGTTTTTTAAATATGGCGGAAAATGAAATCGATACTCTCGAATGAATCGATGTAGGATTGAAACGATATATCGAAATATCGATCAATCATCATAATTTTTTTTTTCTCGTCGCGTATTATTAGGAGTAGATTTATTGAAAAAAAGAGAGAAAGAGAAAGAGAGAGAGAGAGAGAGAGAAAGAATAAAATTGATGGTATTAATAAAACGGTTATTAATTATCTTTGATTGTTCGCTTCGTTTTTTTTTTTTTTTATTTTTTTTTCTCTTTCGAATTTGATTAGATTTAAAATAAAAAAAAAACTTTTTTTATTTTTTGGGGGGACTGGGAGGGGGAAAATTTAATTAAAATTTAAAAAAAAAAAAAATTTTTTTTTTTTGATAAAACAAATACCCCCTTTTATGAAAGAAAGAAAAAAAGGGATGGGGTTATGCCAAAAATAAATAAAACATCATAATATATGTTACATGAATCGTAATGATTGAATCAATCAATCAATCAATCAATCAATCATTCATTCAATCAGTCGTTGAAGTTAAATAAAAAGAAATATGCGTCAAAACGTGAAATGAATTTATTTTAATTTTTTTATAAAAAAAATTATTTAAAAAAAAAAAAAAAGTTTTGTAGGAAATTAAATGGCGGGAAATGAAAAAAAAAAAGAAAAAAAAAAAAAGAAGGAAAAGACTTGAGGGTGTGAATGAAAAACTACCGCGACAATTTCTTCTGCTTTTTTTTTTTTTTTTTTTTTTTTTTTTTTTTTTAACTTTCATTAGCACGAAATTGCCGTTGACGTCAAACTAACCCATTTATTGAACAAAAAAAAAAAAAAAAAAAAGAAAAAGAAGCAAAAAAAGGAAAAAAAGAAAAAAAAAAGTTCGTCGATCTTAAAAAAAAAAAAAATTTTTTTTTTTTTATTTCGAGTGAGGCAAAAACCCCGTGAAATTACCTGATGCCTTCCCCTCTCTCTCTCTTTCTCTTCCTCTTCCCTTCAACCCCTCTCTCAATCTTTCTTTGTTTCTCTTATTTCTCACTTAAAATTTTTAATAAAAACTTTTCAATTTTATTGTTGGATTCAAAAAAAAAAAAAAAAAAAAAATGAAAACTTAAGCAATTAAATTAAAAAAAAAAAAAAGAAAGAAAATTGAATCTCTCGCGCACTTACACACCCACTTACGCACGCACTTACGCACACGGACCCGCACACCCTCATTCAAACGTTAAAAAAAAAAAAAAACCGAAAAAAAAAGAAGGAAAATTTTTTTTTTTTCCGACTACGTCGGATCATATTTTTCCCATTTTTCAATCTCTCTCCTTAAAAAAATTAATCATTATTATTATTATTAATAAAGATGGCGAACGATTAAGGAAAATAAATAAGATGTTAAAAACTATTTCGTAAATCGTATTAATTTATTAAAATGGTCGTTTTTCTCTCTCTCTCTTTCTCAAAAGGAATTTTTCTTAAAGGAAAAATCACAAATTTTCACTCAATTGGGAATTTAACAAAATTTATTTCGTAGGAAATCTTTTCGACTCCATTTTCTAATCAGGTTAAAGTTTAACAACAAACAAATAAACAAACAAACCAACAAACGTTTCATCATCATCATCATCTTCATCATCGGACGAATTACGGGGGGGAAGAGGAGGGGAGGGGAGGAAAGGAGAAGAGAGAAAAACAATTTTTTTTTTTTTAAAAAAATCTTATTTACATCATCATCTTTCAATTCGTTCGTTCGTTTATTAATTAATTCATTTTATTATTATTATTATTATTATTATTATTATTATTATTATTATTATTATTATCATCATTATCAATCATTATTATTAACTATAAATAAATAAATAAATGAATGAAAGGTAAAAGAAACTAAATATATAAATATATATATATCGGGGAATCGATATTTATCCAATTACGGTGAGTAAATAAAATAAAAATCAATGGGGAGATTTTTTTTTCCTTCTTTCACGCGTTTCCTCCCCTCCCCGCCCCTCCCCATCCATCCCACTTTTCGTCACCCCCGTCCCCCTACTACTACTACTACTACTACATCCTTGTTTCCTCTCCTCATCATTCCTCTCTTTTATAAAATAAATATATTTTACGACTCTTAGATTTTCTTTTTTCTCGTTTATTTCTTATCCCCACCGTCGCCATTATTATTATTATTATTATTATTATTATTATTTATTCTTTTGCCACCACCCTTAAACCATCAACATCATAATTTGTGCGTCCTTACAAAAAAAAAAAAAAAAAAAAAAAATAAACGACGAATAAAAAAAAAAAAAATCAAATGAATTTTTATTTTCGCCCGTCCCTTCCTTCCCGTCCCTCCCTTCCCACCGCCCCCCGAAAAAAGCTAGTAAATAAATAAATAAATAAATAAATAAAGTAAACTAATAATAATCTTGACGCCATCTTTAAAATAAAAAAAAAAAAAAAATTTTTTTTTTAATAATCCCCCATTCTTCCTGTTTGCGTTTATATATAAATATATTTTCCAAACGTAATTAATTTGATTTATCATCATCATCATCATCATCGTCATCGTCGACTTTTAATTAATTTAAACGTTATTGAAAATAAATAAATAAATAAGTAAAAATGGCCGTCGGATGTATGCAACAAGAGGTTTTCGTTTGTTGTTGTTGTTCTAGTCGATATAAAATCCGTTTGTTTTCACTTTACGTATCGTATTAATAAGATTTTTTTTTTTTTGTTTACTCAATAATTTATTAATGAAAATTATATTAATGGCGGCGGAGAATAATTTTTAAAAATAGTAATAATAATAATAATGATGATGATGATGATGATGATGATGATGATAATAATGATAATTAAAGAAAATTTCAAACATCATTTAAATGAGGGATTTTTATTTTTATTTTTTTTTGTGCTGTCGAAAGAAAAATTTCCCTATTAATGATGATGATGTTGACGATAATGATGATGATGATAATGATTATAATGATGAAGACGATGATGATGATGATGATGATGATAATTAAAATGAAAATTTTTTATTTTTTGTTATATAAGTCAAAGGAGGGGAGGGGAAAAAAAAGGATGAACTTAATTAATTAAATATTTATTAAGAGTACAATTATATTTATATATATTTATATTTATTAAAAAAGGAAATAATAATAATAATGATGATGGCGACGATGATGATGATGATGATGATTTTGATGATAATGATGATGATGATAAAATAAATGAACGGAAAAAGAAGAAAAAAACAGACAAAAAAAAAAAAACAGGAAAAACAAAAACCATTAGAAATTGTAAAATTTTAATATATATTGTGTTTCTTGTTTGTTTTGGGCTTGTTTGTTC